AGTCTGGAACGCCAACGCCCTTCCTCACTAAGGGTTGGAGCAGGGTTAGCCGAGGTGTTTCCCCTGCCTAACAAACCTGGATGCCATCCTCTCCAAGGATCCTGCGACGCCTGCGAAGCTGAAGCCACCTGTCCTGACGAACCTGCCGAGGTCGAAGGCACTGCCACAGCCAAGTTGCCCTGTGCGCAGCCTGAAGGTGGTGGCTGGACTGTTGGGCTCTTGGCCGGCGGGGCTCCTGGAGGCGCCTGTGGCAAACCTGAGGGCGAAGCTAAGGTCGAGGAGGTCGAGGAGGGACGAGGCGGAGGCTCCTTCACTGGCGGTGCCGCGCCTCCTCTGTCTGGAACTCCTGTGCTCACCTGCGGGGCCTGAGCAAGATCCTGCTGCAACGGCTCTAGCCCACAGTCTACCAGTCCACTGGAGTCCGGCTGCTCCTTCCACTGAAGTGCTAGGTCCATGAGATGCCTCATCCGCTGCAGCTCACCTGTCTCCAAACCTGAGGCCGCCTGTATAACTGCGTCGGGGTCATCCCTGACCAGGCTACGTAGCACTGACTGGATGTGCAGCACTGAGGAGTCACACGACATGATCCCTGGCAGCAACCTGACCTCCAAAATTGTTCAGACCTTGACCCAAAATGGCACAGATGCATTACTTTAAGTGTTGTTGACGCAAGCTAACACTATGAAACCGATTCATCTTATGAATTGTGAGCCAGAAACAGACGTTGTGCCTGTTGAAGGATGTCCGAATGTTTGCCACTAAAATTATTAGGTTGTACACACCCACGTTTCAACACAATGATTTGAATATCAGTAAAGGGGCTGTCATCTTCTGAAGCGCCGCCCCTGTCTCCTTTCGAGACTCCACCTGCGACAACGTGGTGCGACTTCAAGTTTCAAGAATGAGAGCAAAAGAGAGCCGTCGCATCCGGCAGCAGGTTCCTGTGGTGCTTGACAGTTTCAGTGTTTCAGGTCTGTGTGCTCAGTTTATCGTCTTCGGCACCGCTCAGCTTAGCATATAGGCACGGGAGATAGGCTTGGTGCTTTCACCGGACATGCCTGGGATTTCAACGCGTCGCATCCCACGCCTGCGACTTGTCGGCAGAGTTGAAATAGAAAGCTCGCTTTGTGAAGCACCACTCCTGCGCACTCAGGGGCAACCACTCACATAGCATCATCTGGGATTGGAATGGCAGTGAGGCCCCAGCAGAGACAACCCGACCAAACGCACCAGGCCATGTAACAATGTTGATCGCTGCTTCTACCGCTGGCATGTCCCTCATCGCTTTGCAATCGCGTCCTCGAGCTCCTGCAAGGCCCCTCGCGCGATGATCACGGAGGAGTCACACCTCATACCGTGGTTACAGCTCTTGTGACAGCATCCATTTTCTCCCGAACGCACCCGGAGGATAGCAGGACTCCCGTCAAGCTACTACAAAAACTCTCGTCCTCTACATCTCAGGCCCATTTCAACAACTCAGCCGCCAAAGGCGAAGCTTTCGAGGTCAGCGCTTCACACTTGGGATACATGAGATACACAATATTCTCAAAGGCGTACTTGTCTTTTCAATTGGAAACCAGTGATTTTCGGGATTGACTGACTGTTCTCCTTACCAATCTTGTGGCGGTAACTTAGGACACTTCCAAGTGGGTAGTTATCAGGTGGCTACCCTCATAGGAGGCCTGTAGACGACGTACGCCTCAAAAATTCTGCTATGCGCAGTAGGTGAGCTCTTCCTGTAGGTATCCACCTGAAACTGTCCAAACTGTCCTTGAAGAACGACAGAAACGCGAATTTGTCAACAGTAAGCAACAACTTGGAGAATGTTGAAGCATGAGACTTTCCTGGCAGAGTCCCGCTTGCCCTGTTCATTTCCTAGATGCGCTTTCCGAAAGGCTCGTGATCAAGATGAACAGGAACCCCTCTCGTAGGAAACACCACCTCAGCATCCCCCACCCTTTACGCCGCAACCAACAGGACTGCTTCCTTGATGATTTTCGGGAGTCTGAGCATGAGCAATATTCTTTCTTTCAAATCCCTTGCTTATTTCTGCTGTTTTTGCCAAGAAGCACTTTGCTTTTCTTGCATTGGTCGGCCCATGCGCCAAAGGGCGAGCCACCAACGCGCGAGGGCGAGAGCACCTTGGTTGGGAAAGAAACACCTCAGCCCAGGCTGGCCAGGACAGGCTAAAGGGTATATAGGAGTTATATGGGGTTACCTAGGGGTCAGTAGGGAATGATATAGAGAATTTATTGGGAGGATAGGATAGTGCGAGGACATACCGGGGTACAGTTTTGCGGGGGACAAGGTATTGGGACATCCTACGATCCAAATTCCTGTTACTTGGTTACTTGAGGCATCGCAGGATGCAAGTGACTGGGGCAAGCCTCTGAAACCGTGAGGAGTGCAGAGCGTTGCAAACCTAGAGACCAGCTATCCTCTGCCGAGCAGCGATTCCAATGGAGCCTACCTTAGTCAGAATTGACTGATGGAGGCACTGACGCTGACATCAGACGGGGCCAAGATACGGATGGAGAGACGAGAAGGCCCCTGCGGCACCAAAGACAGCAAAGAAGCGGAGTGGGATCTGAGACCACGCGTGCCTGGCCTCACGCCATCGAAGTCACCTTTCTTCAGCATCGACTCGACGCCGTTCAGTGATGACAAGGCGGCATCTGCCGCAGCTGCCAAAGAAAGGCCTGGCCAGCTGCCCGTTGCTCACAGGCTTTCAGTGGCATACAGGACTGCTTTTCTCTGCTTGGCCTTTCTCCTGGTTCCACGCTGCCTGTGCGGCATATTGGGCTGCCTAGGTTTCCCACGGGTGCAACCTCCCGCTGCGAGAAGCTGCTTACTGCTGCTGCCCAGGTGCTTCCACCTCCTCCTTCGGTCTAGCGATCTGTGCCCCGTTTCCCTGCTGGCGCACAGCGTATTCTGCTGCAACGCACACGGTGCAGATACATACTGTGGCATATCACAGCAGTTCACGGAGTAAGAGTCTCACTTGATAGAACTCCTCCATCATTGGGATGGCCGCCTGCAACGAGATGGCATTCCAGCAGGCAATTCGGATCTCGCAGCGTACTAGAATCGACCCAAACTGATTTACAATCGAGTTTGGCAATGGCGCAGAAACAGGTTCAGGACGTCTTGACGAGTTTATATCCTGGATCTGCAGCTCATGAGCATCAAGTAAGACCTTTTTCTTCTTTGCAGAATGAAAATTTGAGTTGCCAAAACCCATGTTGGACATGAAAGAAAAGACACCCTGAAGTCATATGAGGTGAATTCCCTGTGTCCTCCACACAGCGGGTCAAACTGACTTCGACTCGAAGACCACTCAGATCAGGATCCCACCATCAAACACACTGAACTCCCCAAACTCAAGCAACTTAGCCGCAGGATTGCCCTTTGTAGCACCTGAGCTGCTGCCGGAGTAAGTGCAAGCAGCCACGCCCGCCGGCCCTGTGCAAAGGCTTCAAAGCTGTCCGGAATGTTTGCTACCTTCACATAATGAGGCATGACTCAGTGTGTTTTCGGAGTATGCTAAGGACTTTGTTGTTGGAATCTATGTTGCAGAATACAGTTTCTAGTCCCATACTGACGTATGGCACAAGTTGAAGCCCACGTGTTTGGGCTTAAGTTCCGCAGCTACGTCATACATAGAATACCCGCACACTCATGTCCAACTTCGCCTGGACACGGAGGCGGGGAACTGCAGCGAAATACTTAGTATGCGCTTCCTGCCAGCAGGTAGGAATGCTCAAAGCCCATTTAATAGGATGGAAAGTCGGAAGTCTCTTGCAGCTAGCCATATGATCTTCTTCCTACTACAGTAACGATCTATGCAACGTTGTCAAGGAAAGGACACTTCGGAGCACGTTGGGGTATCACTATGCATTCCTACGCCCGTTGCACCAAGACAAGCAATGACACCTCACAGACTCTCTGACTGCAGCAAGGGAACCGCTTGGCCAGCCAGCTCTGCCATCTTGGCAGTTTGCTTGTGCTCGGCCGGGAAGCAACTAACTGGGCGGGTTGGAGTCTAGAGTACATGCAGGTTGTAGGCCTGGAGTCATGGCACTGTGCATCGGAATCACATAGCTCTGCGTACTTGACAGCAGGGTCCTGCTTTTCCGCAGATAAACTGCGAAACTGGCCCGTGTATAAGAAACCTTCCATGCTCAATCCATCCTCTGAGGTCACGGCAAAGATATTGCCGTGGTCTGCACACCACTACCTGACTACAGGCCATGAAGCTATTTGGCCCTCTCCGGCAGCTCTTACCATGCCAAACCATGCAGTGCAGCATGCTGCCACCCAGCGACGACCATAAGAACGGTAAGGGCCAAAGAGATACCTGCACAAGCATAGACTACTTGTAATACACCTCCCTCCCGTGCATCTCCACAAAATGTCTTCGGCCAAGGCTGGCACATCGAGGCAGGCGCCGACGTTCACCAAAGCGAAAACCCATCCTGTGAATGAAATCCACACAGTGTCATTTCATGACACGGCCAGCAGAGACGAAAAGGCTGCATAAAATCGAAATCAGGCCTCGGCCTCCTGCTCCGCAAGGGAAGTGCGAAGACAGCTAATGCTTGCCAGCTTCAAATGGCAAGGGAACCACGATCGGTCAGCTTGTTGGAGGATTTTGGAGGTAGGCTGCACGTGTGCTGTGACAGCTTGAGAGTCTCCTGGTGTTGAAGTGAACTTTCTCTCACTTTCCAGTGCTCTGGGGTTTTGAGCCATACTTACAAAGCGATCTCAATCACCGCTATCCAGGCTTCTGATTGGCTGGATGGTCTTTTCTCTGATTGATCCAAGAGGATCTCGGTAGTCTGCATGCGTCTGGGATGGTTCACTCGTGCTCAGCCGGTGCTTTGGGCGTGGCCAAAGAATAGAAGCTGCCCACACGCAGACATGCTGCGACCGTCGCCTCCACGACCTCTGCCGAGCCGCCATTTCCAGCTTATCTTCGTTACAGTCCTTGCTGACTCGCGCTAGTCGCTGGCCTCCGCCAATTCTGCCATCTCGTTTTCCCAGCCCAGCTGATTCACCAGGACCCGGATGTGGTCGTCGCAATCCCCCAGCAGGGAGATGTCAAAGCTGAAATCCTCAACGTCTTCCCGGTTCAGAAGTATTTTAATGCAAGATGCAGGTGGCTCGTGCGGCAGGCTTGCAAAGGGGTGTACTGAAAGCGATGTGCCGATGACGATAAGCATATGGCAATTGCAGAAGTCCAGTCTGCGTCTGTTGAAGAAGTTTGCTGGCAAGTTCTCGCCAAAGAAGACAATGTCGGGCTTCACGAGACCTCCATACTTCTCACGCAGTGCCTGCCAGCCCTTGGGACCCTCCTTACCAAAGACCACCGCTTGCCTTACTTCCTCTGCAGGCACACGCTGGCCTGTGGTTATGCAGGATGCCGTGTCAAAGCTGCCATGAGCTGCAACGAGCCGCTCTGGGGGCAGGCCGGCCATGCGTTCCAGGCCATCGATGTTCTGCGTAAAGCATCGCAGGAGCCTGCCCTTCCGGTCCAGCATCGAGATGAACTGATGCGTGAGGGTGGGCTGGTATCCTGCAGACGAGGCAAACGAACAAGGGAACGAAGCCAAAAACACAGAGTTGCGGTGGCGCCCCACCTTGGAGTCCAGGCCAAAGATCTCTGGCTAGCTCGTAGAATGCGTCTGGGGCCTTGCGAAAGTAGTCAAGGCTAAAGATCGACTGCGGGGTTGGCAGATTGTACTTCTGTAGGTTGTCGTAGAGTCCCGTCCCAGGGCTCCGGAAGTCCGGGATGCCAGCTGCGGTGCTGGCCCCGGCTCCGGCGAGCACGATGATGTTGCGGTGGGATGGAGAAGTTAGGATCCACTCTGCAAGGCCTTGAACAGTCTGTGATTTTAGGGGCACAAAGCCGGGCGTAAGGACACGTGCCAACGACGGACCCATGGCACGCAGCTGCGTTCAAACTTCAGGCGTTGCAATCTGAGTTGGAAACTCATCCTACGACTCACCTCGTCACAAAATCACATGCAGACTCACCTTGTGATCCGAAAACGCTCTGAATCCTCGCTTCTGGCTTCTACCGGCATCTCACACCTTACAGGAAGTGCGACAGCAATGCCCCAAGGTTTTCTGCTCATCAGGCGACTGGCTCAATGCTACACCTCAGGACCACAAAGCAATCGCTCAACCAATGCAGACAATTGCAGACTTCAGTCTACTTGCTGAGGGCCCCGCAAAACCCCGCTGAAAATGCCTGGACCAGCCGGCAGATGCTAGGGCCCCAGATATGCAACTGAACACACGTCATCACGGCTCCACGTGTTGCAGCACTCAAAGCTCTGATCTGCTGTGCTGCCGGGCAGAAACTAGTTTCAAGTGAGACAAGGCAAACCAAACCAGGTGTCTGGCAGTGATCGGATCTTCCAGTAAATCCTGCCGCTCCCTGGACATCCAAAGAGCCAGAGGCAAGCGTCGGGATCGCCAGCGCGCGTGGAGGTCTTTGCAGAATGCCTGCTCCTCCTGCCTACAATCGCAACAAAGAGCTCCCAGTTTGACGAAGGCATCGGAGCTGCCCAGATCGCGGAAGTCATGCGCTTCGTCGACATCGAAGTTGTAGCGGCGCGCCAGATTCAGGAGACGCTCTTTTTGTTTCTTCCGGCCTTGCCTGCCCAGGTCTTTGGCAGCTGCCACAACTGGCTCCCGGATATCGTTGCGCTGCTTGTAGAGCACCACCAGCCACGGATGTTTCGCAGCTTCATCTGGAAAGTGGTCCACGCACAAAGGGACAACGGATTTATGCCTTGCAAAGAGGCCTGTAGGACAGGCCTCACTGCCGCCACTTGAGCGAGTTGACCGCTTGTTGCGCAGCTTGTCAAACCATGACTGGATTTGGGCTTCTGAAGCCCCGCCAGAATATTGCACCAAATGCCTCCAGCCGATTGCAAATATGCTAGGGTATCCAGTGATGTTGTGCTGTTTGCAGACACCGTGATTACTTGTATTCGTGCAGTCAATGGCTCCCACCACTATGTCCGGCTCAGTCTGCAAAGCGTGTGCGATGTGCTGGAGGTGTGGCTCCACCGTCTGGCAATGTGCACAATCTGGGGAATAGAACATAACAAGGTAAAGCTTACGAGCTTGCCTCTTGGGGAAGTTATCCATGCAAAGGTTGACCATCGGTAAATGAACATCTCCATTGCAGGCTTCTGCTGAGGCATGAACGGCTGCCCTGACCAACAAGGACCCTAGCAGGCCGAGGAGAAAGGACCCAGCATGTCGGCACTCCGTGACGGCTTCTTTTGCGCGGCAGCGCAGAGCTGAGAACCGCGGCTACTACCAGCTCAGAATTCCGGCCGGCCGCTGCCAGTACAAGGGCTTGAGCAGTAGCTGCACGACAGATTGGGTTTTTGGTTTGCCTGCCTGCCAGCACGACTCGCAGCAAGAACGATGCTGTCAAACGAACCAAGGGCACAAAAAGGAATGATACCACCATGTCCACACCCAAACTTGCAAGCAGGCAGTGTATGCGAAACAGAAGGGAGCTTACACCAAAATCGTTGAAGCCCGCGAAAGATCAGGAAATCAGGCTGGATCATGCCTTCGCAACGCCGCCTGCAGCTGCAAGAAGAGGAGACCTGAGCACACCAAAGAGTGCGGTTTTGGGTCGTGCTCTGCATGAAATGGAGGTGACATTGCAGACACCTCAAAGCCGAGAAACGCGACTGAAGATGCCGTCCGCAGGCAACGCCATGCAACCCGCTACAATCTCAGGCCTTATGATCGCAAGGATTCCTTGTCCACATAGCTAAGCAAGAAACCAAAGGGAATGAAGTGTACTGTTTGCTCCTGTCTAGGCAGAAAATGGCTGCTCGTGAGAACCATGACAAACGGCTGTCTCGCACGCATACTGTCACCAATCATCAGCCAGCCGCTGCTGCTGCTGCTGTTGCTACATTTACGCAACCCCAAATCAGCAATGCCGCAAATGTCTGCGCTGACAGTCTCAAGACTCAGCTCAGGTGAGTGGTACCTCGTCTCCATCGCAGAAGATGTCATCACAAGTGTTGGCAGGTTGCTCTTGCCAACTCACCTTGCATATCGAATGAAGCTCACGCATCACGACTCTGAGCAAGTAGACTGTAAAACTGTATGATCCAAGAACCCAAAGCTGTATGCGTTCATACCACAGGTAGCGATGTCAGGCCTGCAGGCAAAGGCTCCAACAAAGCCCGGAAAAAGCTGCCTCAGCACAGCGCAGAGCTAGTGAGCAGTGGCTGGGCCGGATGGTCTGAGCAACTCGCCCACCGTGCCATTGCACGTTTTTTCTCTGGGCAGGCTAGCGCATCGACCTCGAGATTCCCCGCGTCCATTTATTGTGGGCTTGCTGTGGTCAGCTGAGTCACGCACACGGCTTGGCCGGGAGGCCCAGCACCACCTTTCCCCTCAACTAAGAGCAAGCTTGGTCCCAAAACATGACATGCAGTCTGTCCATACTTTTCTTCCAACGCCACGCATGTCTCCATCTCACTGTTGCAACAAACACTGATAACGAAAGTGCTGATGGTATCACAGACTCGCAGCTTCATGGTACAGTAGCCGCTGGTACAGTTCAGAATAACCTGAATCCCTGTAATACACAAAGATTCTCGGCAGCCACGGGGTGACTTGCTGAGTCTCCCAGAAAGATGTGACCACCCAAGACGATGGGATTCCCGAAAGCACGCAGCCCCAAAAATGGGTTTTCTCGAAATGCGCAGCCCTGAAGGATCCTTGAGATATTGAATGGCAAGGAAATGAAAACGATGATTATCAGGGTCCCTACCGGAGCATTTATTAGCAAGAACCTAGATGATTTTGGATAAGGTTTTGAAGCACCGTATATAATGAATTTGCCTGAAGCACAGTGCGTACACAGCGGGTGGCTGGGGTTCTGGTCGCGTGTGCCAATGGCGTGCCTAAACTTGCAGAGGAGAAGCACCAGCTGTTTTGCCGCCGCATTCCACGTGATTCCGGTTACCAGCCTTCTCCTCAACAAAACTCAGGTGCACCTCGTCTGTTTGCCCGTAGCCACATTTCAAACTCTAGACTCTAGCACACAGATGGTTGCCATCCATATGCACTCATCTTCGCCCCACTTATCAGAGCCCTGTTCCAAAGACCTCAATTGTGACGACCTCATGTAATAAATGCCCACATCTGACAAACGTTCCGTGGGAAATCACCGAAGGAAAAGTGCTTTGCAGCACCTACCCCCATTTTGCAAATTGCACTGAACTGCGAACCGTGTGTTTGCAAAAGTCATCAAGCGACGCATGCACCCAGAAATGAATGGATACTTTCACCACATGCAGCACCCAATCAAGAATCAGGCCCGGCATGATGCTTCACATAGGCATGTTGTTATGCCTACCAGGAACACGGAGTAAACTGAGGTAATTGGTAATTTGGCTTTCGCCCTCACCTACCTAGCATTCCGCACACCGATCCCTGGAGCGGAAGTTCAACCTTGCCCCTCCACTAGTGACATAACTAAAATATACTACAATAAGGAACTTTAGGGACCCCCACTACAGTCGCGTGATAATTCTGGAGTTGGGGTACTGAAAAGCGCTCCTTGTTGATCCGGATCCTGCACGAGAAACTGCAGAATGCCTAGACTCTTGACCTTGCACTACCCGACATCCTAAGCCCCTCCGACGCTGCAAATCCTAAACCTACTGTCCTGGGCCTGGCCCTAGGCCACCACGTGCCGCAAATCACAAGCTCTGTTCGTACCGGCAACTGCTACTACTAGTGCTCACATTTTGCCATTCTATTCTTACACTTTATACTTCCTCTTATTGCTCTGAGTAGTGTGATTCTTACTGCTATCGCCATTCTTCTTTCTGTATTCTTACTAGTACTACTATTCCTTGCGCTCTCATCATTAGTATTGGCATTGGCATTACTCCTATCATCATTAGACCTACCTGGACCTCAAAAATATGTAAAAAATGATGACCTAAAATCCCCGCCCAGGAAACGAGCAAAAATGGTTGTTCTTCTACATACTCTCCGGGTGCAGCGCTTAGCCTCAACACATAAGCCTGTAGAACTCCATCCACATCCCTACATCACACCGTAGACGGTAGTGGTGGTGGTGGTGGTGGTAGTAGTGGTAGTAGTGGTAGTAGTGGTAGTAGTGGTAGTAGTGGTAGTAGTGGTAGTAGTGGTAGTAGTAGGAGGAAGAGGAAAAGGAGGACGGAAAGGCCTTCTGCTGCAGCTGCCACTGCAACTTCAATGCCTGCGACTCGCAATATTTAGGTCTTGGGGCTTGACAGGGTTTAGAGTAAAAGGGTTCCGGGCTTATGAGATTCAACGTTCAATGGCTTCAGGATCCCTAAGGGCCCAAGTACATACATGGAGTGCAATTTGCGCCCAATTGGTTTGGGCCTCATGATTTTTGGGGCCTCAGAGCCCAAGAATGTGCTGGTTTCAGGCGGGCTCCCATACCACTACGTTCGGCCAAATTGTTGTCTACTTTCGTACCTGGATCCTTAAGGTAAAGAATCCAAAGGTCGGTGTTTAGGGTGAACCTGCTTCGAAGAGCTCAAGTGGACAATCCAGGAATCTTTGTCTTGGGCTTGGTGTCGAAAAACGTAGGATTTAGGAGAGTTGATGAGGTCGGGAGCTGTATGAAGAATGGATTCGGGCGCCCTTGGAGCAAGGAGTCCTGGGGGATGGGGTATATAGGGTGGTAACATTGCTTTGGGGCTATCATCTTCACAGGGCTGCGTAAACTTTCCATGAAGACTGTTTACGTAATTCCATGTAAAGGACTACGGCGAAACAGCCGTGCATACACGCGCACTCATCTCCAGCTTCACAGCTTGTGAAGTGAACTGGGAAACTTTACACTGTTGACAATTGTCCCATACTGGCCAAATGGACCTTAACAAGCAGTAAATTGAGCTCCCCAAGTTGGTGGATGAGGATTTACAGTAGGGTTTGAGCTCCACAGTTTGGATTATAACGGCAAAAGCAGGGGAACGCTGACGGGATCTGGTCTGGCGACAGTACAAGGAGCCGTTGACAGCTCACAATACAAAACCCAAGCAAAACCGTAGGGTTTGAATTGCTCTGCCCAGGGATTATCGGACCAAAACCCATGAGGCCCATGAAGCACAACAAAAAAACTAATAAGACAAAGTCTTCAGAACTCCGACACTCTAAACCTTCTCTATCCCGACACTACGGAGTCCTACCCGCCGAGTCAAACAACAATGCCACGGTTTGAAACAAGTTGTTGAGCCAAGTAAAATTATTTCTCGCTTGCAGGATAGCATAGCCCAACGGAGGATGCGATCCTACTCTTACATAGGCTGCTACAATATGCCATCCAGAACAATGGCAGCAGGTTCCCGGCCTCGCGCAATTGTCTGCCTGAAATCACGACACCAGATTTTTGACAGATATGTGACAAAGACGCACAACGGCCGCTTCAATCATAATGCCCTGTGCAGCGGAAGCTCAGTGCCCCACCGCAAAAATGCTCCAGACGGTAAGTTCGCTGTATCAACTGGCGACAGACTTGAATGCCAGATCAAGCTGCGTATGGAATTGGCAGAGAGCACAGTCATCAAAGCTGCAACATGCGCACTTCGTACTCGGAAGGGCGTGGGAAGTAGTGATTGAACTGTTCTGTCACTCAGTATCACTCAAACGCTGGAATGGCTCCAAATGGGAATAGGCCGCTTGCTTATCAGGGGAGGAATATCTGAAATCAAGGTGGGGCAGGCGTGTGCTTCTAGAGTGGGACAATAAGCTTTGGGTCCTGTACTCAACGTCAGGGTTCCCCTCCCAAATCAGGTTACTCCATCCTCCTCAAGTTCTATCAATCGCAAAGCCTTCCAAACCTGTACAGCTGTCCCCAAAAACGTCACCACCAAGGCCAATGCAAAGTTTCTGTGATGAAAAGCATCCAGCGCTTCAAAATGGTGACAGTTAGGATCCAGGAGGTGGGTCATATCGTGGCTTGATGTTAACAGAGGCAAAAAACGAAAGAACTACCCTAGCAGTGCGCTGGTTAAGCTTGTGTTAACATATATGCCATCAAAAGGTTTTCATTTGGGGTTGCAGGTGCAGGTACCTAGACCTCCAAATTCCCCACGATACTAGCACATGTGTTCCCGGTCCTC